TGACCTCATAAAGAGGTCATCTGCAAAACTCATAAACCAATCATAATACAATAAACAAGTCATATGACTCGACTGAGTCATATTCATGAAACCCATGACCTCATAATAAGGTCTTGTGCAAAACATAAATCATATGCGCAAGGCCTACCCGCAAGGCACACTTGCAAGGCATACTCACCAGGTGTACTCCCATGACTCATATTTGAGCCATGTGCGAAAGCATCACAAATCCCACACAGAACAAATCATATGACTCGAATGAATCATATGTGCCAAACAATAACATACCCGCGACTCATAACTATGTATCACATAAAAACCTTTTCCTCGCCAAGCCATATTCGTGACAATATGTTAGACTTTTGAGAAGATATCTTTTTCCTGTTATTCATCAAATGATTTTCTTTGGTATACAACTTGAAGATGTTCTTTTTTAGCAAGATAATGCTCCTGTTCACAAGGCATATAGTGTTATGGATTGGTTGGAGAGAAACAGTATTGAGGTTGTGGACCACCCCCCTTATTCCCCTGATTTAAATCCTATTGAGCATGTATGGGTTGAGCTTAAAAAGTGATTGCACTAGAAGTATCCAAGGATTGCAGATACTCCAGGAGGAAAAGAGGCTGTTAGGAGAAGGCTTGCACATGTATTACTATTGGTTTGAGAGACAATTCCTGAGGAGTTTTTTGAGAAGTTGTGGAAATCAATGCCTGATAGGGTGGCTGCAGTTTTAGAAGCAAGGAGAGGTTATACAAAATATTAGCTAGTTTAATTTATGGCGGGTCAATTGACCATTGAATGTTGAGAGGTACCAGTGGTTGTTGATCGTGAACTTGAACTCACACGTGCGCACACCCATTGACAACCCCACCGGCACTGCCCCACCATGTGGCGCAACCACAATTAAACATTGTCTCAGATCACGAACACTTCTGCCGAGTGACTGTAGAACAATGACCACTCAGAATCACTTATGATATTATACTCGTACAAGAGTAAGTATCAGCTACCCATTCTCTATAACACTTAACACCTTTTCAGTTCATCATATGACACCATATCTAATACAAGCTTCGGGAGGTGTACCCCCCCTCCCCCTCTCCCCCAGTTGTCTCGTAAGATTGGCTGGTGGTTATGATACTTCCAGAGTGTGATCCAGTTTCTAGGGTAACGTAGCCTAGGGTTTTCCGTATTCCTTGACAATGATCGCTTACAAGGGTACTGTAGGATATAGATTTAAACTAATACGTCCCCCAAAAAAAACAAAGACCACAATCAACCTTTCACCGCCAGAAGCATGTTTACCAAATCCGTGTAGCTGGTCATTAACCGCTACTACAAGTATTGACTAATAAAATCGCGAAGCTCGTTATTCGCATACAAAGGATGCGAGCCAAGACCCTCGCTATCATTCTCCCCATCAACCGCTCCACCCTGTTCACCCACACGAACTCCCGGGGCACCACCCGCGGAGTTCACATTCGCCTGCCCGAACGGCAGTATCGCGCTTGCGGGGGTATTGTAGCTCTGATAAACGGCCGGGCCCGAGCTCGGACTGGCAAGGGGTCTTCGCGGGATTCTAAACAGGTTATTGACCACAGGGGGTTCTGCTCTGCCCTCACCCTCCTCCTCCTCACCCTCCTCCTCCTCACCCTCCTCCTCCTCACCCTCACCCTCCTCCTCCTCCTCCTCGTCGTCGTCGTCGTCGTCATCGTCGTCGTCGTCGACAGGCGGATCCGGCGGTAGAGGCTTTTGCAGCGGGGGGACAGGACCATGTCTTCTCTCCTTCTCCCTAACAACGTCCATGCCCCCACCCTCCAACACGGGCGTCAGACCCAGCTGGTTTCTCCCTCCCCCTCTAGCTAACGATAGAGCTCTGGTAAAAACTCTTGCTGGTCTTGGCTGTAGCTCGTATGGTGGTCCTACTCTTAATTCTGTTTCTCCCCTTCTGCTTCCGCCCCCTCTTCCTCTTGGCTCTCTCACTCCTATCTCAGCATCATGCCTCGCAGCTGCAGCGGCCACCATCCGCCGCTGGTGCCCCCGGTAGTAACTGGATATTAAATAGCATAGCGACACCATCAGCACGAGCCCTGAAGCTATCAGCCAGGCTATCTGCAGGATTGCTAGCTTAGAGCGGAATCCAAAGTGCTGCTTTGAGGGGCTTATGTGCAGGGTGTAGAGGAGGCAGAGGGTGAGTGAGTTTGTGGAGATTATGAGGAAGGCATGCGCGAGGAGTCGGAAGTGCCGGGTTGGGGTTGGGGTGCTGGATATGCTTGATGTTGACATTTTCGGTGCTGGCTGTTATGCTCGGGTGGTGGGTTTGGTTGGTTTGTCCGAGCTGTTGAGGCGCTGATACAGCGAGGGGGGGTTGGGCTGCGCTTTGTGGAAGTAAGATTCTATCGAAAGAAAGAAATGGGGGGCATGCTGTGGAATTGGATAGAATGAGTGTAGATGTTTCGTTTCGGCGCTGCAGGGCGGCGAATGGTGGGATCGATATGAGGGTATATATGCATCCTCAGTGAGATAGTATAGTGTAGAGTGCTGGAGGTTATTGGAATGGCAACTATATAGTAATCCCGACCGTTCTGGGAATTGTATTGCGAATGTTTTTAAGTTCTCCAAGTGCTATTCGCAATGACATATTATCACTATCACCGGTAGCGGCTCCAATAGCACAGGAGCCCGTTCTATGCATCCTATCCAGTAACAGTCCCAAAAAGAACCCCCGAGTGACCTCCTGTGAATACAATAATAAGGTCGGAGTGGGCGTTGGATTGCCTTTTTCTGGAGGTTACGACACCATGAAGAGGAAAACCGCAGAATCAACAACTAACCAACCCTGGGCAATTGCGTGACCACCTTAGAGGTTGTTGCGCAGGGCTGCTTTGCAGAGCTTACCATCTCCCCCCCCATACGTAGCTTGTGGACACGCGGGGCGAGATGGCATTAGCCAAATGTCCTAGATCCGAACATCATCGCAGACCGCTCGTCAACGAAAAGCAGGAAGACGTAGGATAGTAAAGATAGTATCCCCCCCCCTCGCCTCGGAACTTTCAAAAAATCCATCGGGCTTAGTAGTATAGCACAGTAGCCTACTTATAGGTCAAGCACGACCCCAATGCGGCGAATGCAAACCCATCCCTACAATCCTCGAACGTAGATTTTGTATGATACCTGATACCTGACACACCAGCACCTGACTTATCAGCTTCATCAGAATTTTGTCACGGACACGCACGCCGGTGAATCCCTACCTAACACGTAACTAAGTTATTATGCCCCTCACCACTACCCTGGGAAAAGTCCTGGATCAACGTTGGTATGATAAACCTAGCATCATGCTACAATAAAAAACTCTTTCTAGAATACAAGCGACCCTCCCGGCACCTGCAAGTGCGGTTTCGTGCGTTGTGTGTTGTGGGGGTGGGGTGGGGTAGCATAGCTTTCCAAGCCTTCGGTATATGATACCGGTGGCAAACTTGGCAGGAAGATGGACATAGTCTTCCGAGTGAGGCGTTATGAGTGAGAATGGTTGGTTATGGTGTCTGGATGGTCTCCGAATGTGATCGTGCCTCCTACGCAGGAGGATTTCCACGGCTCTGGGCTCTGGCCGTTCGTAGTTAGGAGTGTTAAAAGCTTGGCGTTCGTGGGTTGGAAGGGTAGTCAGGATTCCCACCCAGCGCGGGATAGTTGTCCCCTCACTCGGTGCAGTGACAGGCACTGGCATCGGCACAGCTACTTTGGGGTGCCGCCCGCCCCAGAAACGGATCGAATGCCGTGTAATTTGGAACCAAAGTATGATCAACAGTAGATCGCACACCCCACTGCTACCCCGTGCGTCAAATCTCGAAACAAAAACGCACATCAACTCCACCCTTCTTTCAATCCCCTAATACTCCTTCGCAAAAAAAAAACCGACCATTCCTACGCTCCCAAGCACCTCAATAACCTATTCCAATTCCACCTAGTATACCTCTTCACCCCACCAGCGCCGCTACCCCTCTCACCCCCTCCCTTCTCTTAACCAACCACCCCGCACTCCCCATCGGATATAGGAAAGTCTAATCTGGGGAACCAGCGGCGTGAAACACCTAGTCTCGCCCACATCCAGCGCCCCCCAACCTTCAAACTCAGCCACGGGGTCGCCACGCGATGTTTTGGTCCACGGAACCCGGTATGATGGGGTAGACCCGCTGGACGAAGCGTGAGTTCCTCATCGATGGCGAAGTGAGGGGCAGATCTTGCTCGGGGTCAAAATGATGCGCCACGTACACTTCTCCCCGATTTCGCCCAGTTCGAGGATCCCGGCGTCTAGGAACTTGGAACCCACGCGCAGCTGTAGGCACAGTACCGGTAGGCGCTCACGGCGGTTTGGTTGTTTGGGAAGGTTATTGGGGGTTTGGCGGCCCGGGTTGGGTGAAGGCTGAGGTTGAGGAGGTTGAGGAGATTGGGATGGTCGTCGTCGCGGTGGATGATGTCGAGGACCGAGTAGCAGGAGTAGGCGTCCAAACCGCGATGCACCCCAACGCAACAATGACCCAGGACGCCTCGGTCACGTTCCGGTGGTGCCCAGGGGAGCACAGGCGGTTTGTACGTTGTGGTTTGCAGCCACGCGCAGTGCTGCAAAGACGGTTGCTATGATGGGGTATTTGGGCATCATCCTTTTGTGTATGGGCTGACGATATCTTAGGACTGGATAGAGACGCACGAGATAATAGAACTAAACTAAAAGTACAAAAATGCTCAGAGCTACGCTGGTAGGATAGAGTCCGTTCCCTCTAATCACCATAACAAAAGCCGGGATGGTGTATAGCAAGCCCGTAAACCCACTCCCGGCCAGTGCCACCACAAGCATCGGAATATTTTGAGGTGCGAGTGATCCTGAATGACGAGCACGTTGTTTGCCGGAGCACTAGACTACCGCGTGCTCAGCTCATCACTGACCCTATCTCCCAAGACATGCACGGCCATTAAAACAAATGTCTTTCCAAAAGTATCATAGAACGTCTATCATGTTTTTTGTTATCCCGAACTGTAGAAAAGTGCCGTGAACCATTTTACATGCTCGAACAAAAGAAAACAGAGACCCCAACCCCGTATATATACACACACGCCTCAACTTGGCCCGAAATCCGCCTATTAAATCCGACTTGATATTCTTGAAGTCTCCGAAAGTCAATTCCCCTCCATACAAATGTAATGAAAATTAACGCAAGTGGTGAGGGGAGCAAAAAAGATGCTGAAACCACTTCAAATTCTCGGGCTCACCCTACACTGGGTCTTTTCTCAATCCTTCCTTCATCGTCTGATTCATCATCGCTGACCCCGCCAAGACTATACCTTCTGGCCTCGGCTGCCTCAAGATCCCGATCTCTTTCAAACATCGGGCTTGCAACAGTTAGATCCCTGAGCTCATCCTCATCAAAGCTCTCCCTTCCGTCTGCCAATCTATCCCGACTTCCTCCGGTCATTTTCAACCCACCCAATCCGGCGTAAGACCCCCGACGACCCCTCCTTCGATGACGCTGCCTCCAGATGAAAATCCCCCATATAGCCGCCGCGCTGGCAACAAGGACTAACGCAACTTCCCCAGACCGGTAATAAGCTGCCCACCTAGCCTGGTCAACTCTTTCCTTCTCTTTCTCAACTGCGGCAGTCGAGTTGGGCGTTCCACCAACACTCGTAATTGGTGCCTTCTCGCCGCCAATTACACTGTCGGCTGGGGTGCCCCCAATTTTGCCGATATCAACCTCCATGAATCGGTCGAGCATATCCCGCGTTCTCCTAGAAAAGTCAAAAGGGACCATATGACTCGAGTTGTAGATAAGAACGTAAGTCAAGTTTCTTGCACTCTGATATATTCCAGCTGGCTCGTCTTCAAATACCCAATCTTCCCGAGGCGCCCACGTTCCCGGAGCCCCATCAAGCTCAAATCCCTTTCCACCATTCCATTCCATGTTGTGGATCAGCTCTTCCGTCCCAATGTGGTTGCAAATAAGATCTTTATTACCCGAGAACAACAATATAGGCATCTCTTTCAACAAGTCTGGTAGCAACTCCACAGATGGCTTCGACTTAAGGGCACGGAAAGAAGAAGAAACAGCACCAGCACATTCAGTCCACCCAGCAGTCTTATCAGGGTTGACATGGAGAGCCTGCAAAACGTCCTTCCTCCGGAGGTAAGGGGTTAAGCTGGACAAATCTGGAGGCCAGTTCATGCCGCATGAAGGGTACGTGTCTTCTAGGCGCACATCGTACATGTTCCAGCATACCTCCTTTCCATCCTTGTGGTGCTTAGTCTTCGCCAAGATATCTTGTAATATCTGTTCGCACTGGTTGAGATCAACGTGATGTCTGCCCTTCTCGGCAATTGTCTTGACACAGACAGCAACTTGTTTTTCAATTTGGTCGGCAATCGGCGATCCCTTCTCCACAATACCACTTTCGTAGGCAAATGGAAGATAGGAGAGATATTGATTAGATGGATCAATCCACCCGTTGCCGATGAGGAGACCTTTAACATTCCATTTGATACTAGCATCGGCATTTCGCTTGAGGATAGCATCCGCTATGTAGGGAATATGCTGCCCCGCATAAGACTCCCCAGAAAGATAAATCTACAAGACGGGTTAAGCGTCAGTCGGCCTCCTCGATTAGGTGTGGGGGGATCCTACGTCATCGCTCTCATACTCCGGGAAAAGCTCAAAAAACTTTGTCAAGAACTTGATGAAGTGATCGGACATCTGGAGAGAGGTGTTAACTGCCAATGTGCAAGCATCCACTCGAGTAAGAAACCAACCTGCGTTAACTCCGTCAAATAGCTATCGGTATTGACATAACTAAATCCCGTCCCGACCGGTTGATCAACAAAAAGAAGGTTCGCAAATTCATGCCAGCTCCCCTCGTTTTCCGCAAGAGTATGGTCATCCTTCAACCTGTACGGGCCAACTTCCATCAAAGCTCCATCCATACTACTGCACCCAGGCCCACCGTTCAGCCATATCACAGTACGCTGTCGATTCGCAATATGTTTGTTCTGAAAGTGCCAAAAAAATAGATTTCCATTCGTAGCATGATCGACCTCGATATGTCTGCTCAATAGCTAGGGGTTAGAGTGATTGGCTCAACAAGAAAAAGATTTTGGGGCAAACTAATAGAAGCTACTAACCCAGCATGCATCTTAATCAATGGCCCCGGAGGTTGCCCGGGCAGAGACCTGACAAAATAACCCGCTGAAGATCCTGGGTTATCCGAGCGAACGGCGAGGGCGGTAGCTGAGGAGAGCAGCGAAGCTGCAGCTCCCAGCAAAAGCGATGACGCGGCCAAGCGCATCGCGAACAAAGAAAGGCGTAAAAAGAAGGGGAAACGGGGGGGAAAAACACACGATAGAAAGCAAGTTCTTCGGGGCCGGTAAAGCCAGACGGTATCGGAGGTCTTGCGGTGGAGAAGGAATTCCGAACCCCCAGTCCGATATGTTGTGGAGGGAAATTTATCGCTAGGAACGAGGGTATTGAGGTTGTCAGACGGGGAAGGGGATACTATAGGATGTGCGAGCAAGTGCTGCGCGGATCAAATCCAAATAAGGAAAAGGACCGACGGAAGCAAGCGGCTGTGCTGCCCGGAAGCGTTCGTGTCCTTTCCCTTCCTTGCCGTCTTGGCGTGTTCCCGGCTGCCTTCTGGATAAGCGCCGTGGCAGTACCTTAAACCCTCCGAGAATACGACGTGATTACCACTATGGTAGTGTTGGGAATACTGTACTTGTACTAGTACAGTATTAATGTACGGGTACGAAGGGGGCTCCCGTGGTTTGGTACTTCCCGTTGGATACTGTGTGCTCGTACTGTACACAAATTATTGAATATAATAAGTATAGTGGATATGGTTAAAATTATTCGTACTGGTATTGGTAAGGGCACCAATACTGTAGTCTAGTATCCTGTGGTATGATAGTTGATGTGTCCAAAACCTCAATGTATCGTAAAAAAAAAACAGAAAGGCAGGCACAAGCATAGGTCCGCACAACTAAGAATGCGCAGGATAAAAATCAAATTTATGGTATGATAAGCATAATTTCAGCAGGTACAAAACAGTACTCGAGTAGAGGTGGGGAATTAAATTCTCTATGAGAAGGGTTTCATAGGATTTCGTTGATATCATATGTAAATGTGGCGAGAATTAGGTTTCAGGCTGCCTTCAGAGTTGTTGAAAGAAGTGGAAATGAAACGAGCCCTGTTTAGCTGAGTACTATCATAGTACTGTACATACACCATATGTACTCTCCAAAATGCTGTGGTATTTCCAGAGACAAATGTATTCGGGAGTGCCGTGATTTCCATCACAATGCCATTAAATTTTCAAGGAAGACCCAAAAAGGATATGATACCAGTAGGTTATCCAAAAAAAAAGGGGGGGGACCCTTTCCCCCAAGAAACTCCGAACGCGAATGACTTACAGTACCGTAGCTTTGAATAATGGGAGCTCAGTCACACCGCATACCGGTGTGTGTTTCCAGCACCATGTACAGTACTGCACTCGTAATGTATCTCTGGCCCGTACAGTTTACACAGAGATAGTTACTTGTAATAATATTATTATAAACACCAACTTGTTACCCTCCTTCCTCACGGGAAACGAGAACATAAAGACCCATCATAGTGATACTAATACGTTCTCATCTCATACAACAAACGTAAACACTGCGCGTCTCCATATGATCAACACCAGGAATATCACCGCTTCAGTTTTGAATAGCAAGGTTTGATCGATTGGAACCCTGCCTGTGGGTTCTTGAATGCTTGGCCGGGCTCATGAAACGTGACCCTAGATGCAAAATTCCGCATTAGGCCTGCATCTACCTCTCCCGCCCATTCTGAACCAACAAGCCACCCAAATTCCACAAAGCATGAATGCTGTAAAATTTTCTAATTAAACCATGTGCTAAGCAGCTCAAAATTCCTTCTCTAGAAAAGAGGGGGAAAATATATAACAAAAAGTTAGTTCCCTAGGGCTCTGAGGGGGGATAGAGAACAGAAAAATACTAGACCTTACCAGAGGAGGTCACTCGAACGACATAGCACACGGTTCAAGCATTGGAAATTCTACGGTATCGATTTCCCTTCCCCGCCGCACTCGGGGGTTTATTTAAAACCTCGATGTTAGTGATCACACCTTAGATCCAGGTGCCGGGATCGTCGGCCCGCAGGAGCAATTCTTTCTGCTTATCGTCATCCTCATCATCCGTAAACCCTAGGATTTCAGATGAGTTCATGGAGCCCCCGGAGCCATCCTCAAACGAGTCCAAAAAATAGGCATCGTCTCCTTCCTCATCAAAAATAAACAAATCTTCTCCGATCTCGGCTTCCGGTTCGTCCAAGAGCATGGAGCCCTCATCCAACCCCAGTCCCTCGTTAGGATCACCCCTGATCAAACTTTTCAGCCTCCCCCTCTTCTTCTCTCCCAAACCTTTCATTAAAACCTTCCACAGCTCACTCCTATAGCTTATCGTCTCGGCTCCCATCCTGTGAGTGATTTTTCCAATTTCCTCAGCCATCAAGTCAATGTAACCTGCCTTCTCGCCTACTTCTCTCAAATACCCAGGATGTGCACATAAGGGCGCAGCGTTTGCGACGCCGCTGCTCCAAACATCCCGTATCGCAGTATCCGCAATGGGCATGATCGATGATATTGACGCTAGTGGTAGCCCTTTAACCAGTCCGGAAAACCTAAACTCCATAGAAACAGAGACAAGCGCAGCAGTAGGCAACACTGTAGATATTAATAGCTCAGTATCCCCCTCAGATGTAGGAATAGTCAATCGTGAAAGATCAACTGATCCAATAATCAGTTTTTCCGTGGCCAAAAAGAGGGGGGGTGTATTCAACTAACGGATGATGTCCCATTCTGAATTATCAAATATTCGCAAGGAAGTTTTGAACAAGAGCTGCTCCCACATCTGTGTTTCGCTAGCATTCATCCTTCCTCAAAGCACGAAAGAGCAGACGAAGCCGGACAAACAAACCTCAGCCCTAGCAACCCATCTCCCAAAAGCCTCTATCACCGCCTCCTCGACTCTCATATCGTCCCACCGGAGCCGAATCTTCAACTGCCCATTCTCAGAATTACACCGAGCAGGAAAATAGGTAGCATACGCAGAGCCCAGCACCCCTGATAACCACTGCCTCGTCTAGCAGCACCGGCTCTTCAAGAGAAATTCGCAGCGAACAAGCGAGATCCAATATCACGCCTATCCCCGTGTAATTACAGTTTGGGATGCGATGATCAACCGTTCTAGAAGAGGAAGCGGATGCGGAAGTCATTGAAAGGCATTATAAAGGGATAGTTAGGTGGCAGATGTAAGCATGAACAGCATGTGTCAAAATTTGAACCCCTATCACGATGAACGCGAGTCCATGAACTAGCTCGCGGGATCACGTGCTAAGACTCGGATAGAGTTGGGAAAAATTCTTGGAAAGTTTCTAAGTATCATATGATAGAATGACTACAGTAGTAGTAGTATGCTTAAACCTGGAGACGGGGTATGATAGCTTAAGTCAGATAACCCGGGGTCAATGCCGATGGCTCTCGCCTTCCAAACAATATCATACCGGTAAACCACTCCACCTCCTCTCCGCACGGTAAGAATTACCCTAGAGCTCCCCGCAGTCGCCCTGGATCCAAAAGAGTAGAAACATTTTTAAAAGAAACCTGGGTAGAGTCGCCTGGCATATCGGCCAATCACAAGATATCACCCGCATAATGGCACCTGCATAAACCGATCACTCGGTCAATCGTTCCGAGCCCTAGCCTTCCCGGAACGTGAAAGCTCAAATGATGCGATACAAGCCCCACATCTCGCAACCTCCGATTCGACTGGGAGCACCTTCCCCATGTATAAAAAGTAAAAAACTGAGCACGTCCGACATTATTGTGAACTTTGTCATCCTGTTGGCTTACTTGGCATGTAAAAAATATACTTTTCTTTGTTATTTGGGGTTCCTACCTTTCGCTACCCTTCATCCCCTCACCTATTTCTCTTGAGCGAAAAACTACAAGGCTATAGTGCAACGTGATGTCCGGACACAGAGCAGGAGGAGGACCCTCGTACCTTCGCGACCTGAATATGTTACCGGAGGAGGAAATTAAGGCGGATGCCGAATTTGACCCGAGTGATTTGTCGCTCTATACGAACACGGAATTTTTCGAGTTTGATATTGGCGAGGGCGATGGGGGACAGGAAGGGAGTGAGCGATTCACAGTTCCTGAGGAGGCGCAGTTGAAGAACGGACATTTGGGATTTCTAAACGGTGAGATTTTTTTTTATCTCCTCTGCTGACTTGTGAGAGGAGGAACCTGTGGGAGGAGGAATTCGTGAAGAGCCCCGTTTCGGTGGGGCAACCCGTGCGGAAGCGGGGATGGGAGACGCACATGTCACAACATTTGCTCGTCGAATATTATCATTAAATTTTGACAAGGGACGTTTGCGAGTACCAGTTATCTTTGGGGGCCGGGTTCGACAGGCAGGCCAGAGGTCGGTCTGGGCAACTAGGGAGTTAACAGGGGGCGAAAGAGTTGGAGGGGAGGAATACCACCTTGAAGCTAACGCTCCTCCCGATAGATGATGATTTCGACTACATGCCCTTTCCTACCCTCCCCACATCCGAGAGTCAACCATCCACCCAAACCACCGTTACCTCTTCACACCAAGCCTCGAACTTCATGCCACCGACTGCCACACTTCGCGCCATTCAGCCCTCTTCTGCCTCTTCGGACTCTGCTTCTCCTTCCCCCCTCTCCCCGCGAAGCGGTAAGCGGAAGGCTTCTATAGCGGCCACCCCCCCCTCGACAGATGGCCTCGATGACCTTTCTCGTGTGGCAGCAGAGGAGGACAAGCGCCGACGAAACACCGCAGCTTCCGCTCGATTTCGCGTTAAGAAGAAGCAGCGAGAGCAAGCCCTTGAGCGAACGGCGAAGGAAATGACAGATCGAGTTAAGCAACTTGAGGCCAAGATCGCGCAACTGGAGATGGAGAACCAGTGGTTGAAGAACCTTATCGTGGAGAAGAACACTGCCACGGCGGCATCAAACGATTCCGACAATTCGCGGGAGTCCTCGAAGGATGGAGCCGGCACAAAGCTTAAGAATAGCGAGTCCTAGTACGAGATATACCCAAGCTGCTCTAGGCCTTGAGGGATTCACTTTTCTTTGTAATGACGGCTTTGCTTTTTTTGGTCTGGACCGGGCATTACGTGATTTGGGATTTTATGACATTTCGTTTTTTCCTAATACTGTCTAATGATATTTCCTTGAATATCAAGCAATGGATTCACGAAGGACGAATGAATCTTTTGGAGCAAGTTTCGAGTAAATTTTGGTTTAATTTGTTTTTTTCGTTGTTCAACACATTAGCAACATTAAAGTAGCATTGGGCTGGGTCTATGATAAAACTTTGTGTGAAGCTCTACTAGGTGCTCATGAAAATTAGTTGGAGGGGGAGTCACCGAGACTCCAACTATGATGTCGTCATTCTTTACCAAGGATTGCGCCATCGACGCCGACGCGGCTCAAAAGATTACGTAATCTGCGTTCTCTGGTCAACACTAAGCAGGATCTGCTACTCGTAGAGCGTGGCTGATGGTCCCCGCGAAGCTTGTTTGTGTCGGGTGCGGCAGATCCGCAACCCATTTCTGAACACCGATAGTACTGTACGAGTACTCGCACTGGAGACTGAGATTGGACGGTGCCTTCTGGTGGGCACTAGGACAGAATTGGGCTTGAAAGCTCAGGGAAATGAGCGATTGGAAAGGTCAAACACCGCTAACCCTTCGCCTAACCCTTCGAAGCCCAGCTGCGCAGCGACTCTACGAGTATGGTACCGGTATCATTCATAGAGTGGGCGCAGGTTGGCTTGTGCTTTGTTGCTTGGTCGTCTGGGGTTACGGGAGCTGAGGGTGGTATGATACCGTAGGCTGGCAGGCAAAATCGCCAGGGGCCAGTTTGACAATAATAGCTACTGTTCGGCGGACAAGATTTCAAGGGAAGATGCTCCGTTTGTTCCCCCTCCGAAGGGTTACCTGGCAGCTCCTGCTTGTCCATGGAGAACACCGGTAAGTTAGGTGTTATGTATAACTGTGTCCCCATACCCTTCCAAGTGTGATACTATGATACCAGCCCTTGGAAACGCTTCGCTAACCCCCTTTCTTATCATCTAGTAAAACAATCCACGATAAGGGTTAGAATGCCCCTGGGAGCGCAAGTTATCCGGAAAATCAGTTACCCGGAAGGCCCTTGCTGTTCTGGCGTTGTTAATAGGTATTGTTCTCGAGGTTCGAGGAAGGGTATGGGAACTTTACGGACGTGGTTATATCGGTCAGATCATCCTTCAAATCAAACGTCACAAGATTGTTGGGGGTGCTATGGAGGTTCTTCGCCCATGGATTACCCAGGATCCAGGCTCCAAGTCCATACCCTGGAGAAGTGACAAACAAAGTGATCCCGGGCGGCTGTGACCGGCCGGAGCCGTGGGGTAATGGGCGAGCTTACTGTCCAAGACAGGCGTGCAGATTATTTATCGTCTAGGATTACCCAGCCAAGGCATTGAGAGAAAGTAGTTCATATTCCTAAAGTAATCGTAGTAGAAAGTATAGCGCATACGTTTTTTACCGGGTGTTAACCACAACACATCGCGGCATGAAGAGACCCTTTCCGTACTTTAGGAATGTAACAAGCTGCAGAGCAATACAACGTGATAGCAATAACCCTTCCTTTAACCTTTGTGTTTGAACCATCTCCGTCTCACAAACCCTGAGCTCTTCCTGCCGTCCAGCCCACTACCCCCGGTGCCCACCACTTATGACATGAGCCCAGCTATCATACCGGTATTGTATCACAACCTCAATGCTCCACTATCAATCTGCGATACCCATATCATATAAGCCCAGCATTATGATACCAACCCAAGGACCAGAGCTACAAATCTCTACCCCACCCAAAGAGGAAAAAGAAAAAGAAAAAAAAGGAGACAGTGCCTCATCCCGACCCGAACGGTGTCCCGAGCCCATCAACGCCAGATACTCAATATGAACATCACCCAATTTATGCGCTTTCCGTGTACTGTACTCCATATTGGTACCTCAAATTACTTCCCAGTGCACCCATCCACAAGACCTCACGAACACCTAGGTGTATGATAAGAGGAAGAATAAAATACAAATTCCTCTTTCACTTTTTTTCTTCCGCTGACCCCCCGCTGATCGTGGACTTCACCTCTATGATAGGATGCATATGTTCTATAATCTATGATAATAATGAATACGATGCCACAAGGAGAAGACCCGATTCGCGCCACAGCCTCATCGAGGAAGGCTGTAAGGTCTTCAATTCTCCCAGGTTTCTTTTTACCCCCCCTCACCCCGCCCTACGACCGCCGCTTCAATGTCACCTTACACCAGATTATTATTATTATTTTTATTATTATTATTATTATTATTCAGTTCTGGTCAAACGCCATCATCTGATACCATTACATCAGATTTGGGGAGGAAAAATGCACTTGATGGTGTTTTCACACCGTTGTCATAATATTATCATACTAACATCGCAGACCTTATGATACTGGATGGACGCTCAAGGGCCGATTGACCTCCTCCCGACGAGCAAAAAGTTACGATAGGACGTTCAACCCGATCATCTGATAGCGGATGCCCCGACCCCGAGTAGGAGGAGGGGCGTTGGGGAGGGGAGAAAACGCCTCCACCCTAGGGTGCAGTACAGGGCACCGTGATGCTTCCTCGCTCTCCGGGAGCTTGGTTTGCCCCACCGCCCACCAGCCGGTCAGCCGGAAATGCGGCAACACCGGATATGTGGGCGGAATGCGAGTGAGTACTATATCGTAGAGAATGGGAAGTTCGGAATATCGTACCTTATTGGGCCGAACTCCCACTAGAGCGAACTCTGAGTCTTGGGGAGTCGAGTAGGCCTTGTCAGTGGGAGAGTACGATGATACGATGATAATACCATTATTGTAGCCCCCGTTCAGGGCGTTGCGTCTACTCTCGGGTCGAGTGTCATGCGTGCGCGGACCTAATCCCCGAGTGCTATGATATGTGTTCTTTCATGACTAGGATGTAATTTCTCCTCTATCAAGGAATTGGTACTATCCGGAGTACGTGCTCTCCCCGCAATCCGCAGCAGGGCGAACAGCGTCCCAGAATTTGCAATGAGCCAACTCGTGGAAATCGTAGGATCTCCAAAGATTTTTTTTTGTATCATAATATATCACTCGCGATTTGGTTATGCCCCCACAAGTGAAGCCAAGGGAACGGCGCAATACCCTTGCAATGCGAAGAGAGAGTATAAGTTAGTGCACAGACTTTGCAATTTCATTTCTACAGCCACCACAGCATGGGATGCCATCCCACCATGGAACTGGCAACAATTGAGACCCAAGTGGTGAGAACGATGCCCTATTGTCAAAGGGGGTAAACCGGGTGGGTCAAGGTATCGCCAGGGAGCCGAAGTGGCTACCTTTGGGCTAGAAACTGTTCTGTAAATTGTGAGAAGGAAAGGAATAGCACAGGTTGAAGGAGAAATGAATACCTGGGGAGCCTCGTATAGGGTGCGTAGCGGGTCAGTGTTCAATAATATGGTATATTTGTGCGCCGATCGGGCTTCAACAAGCGGGCCACTGGAGAAATAGTTCGCGAGACAGGTTAAAACACCAACAGGTCGCAAGTATAACAGCAGAACAGGTGAGGGAGAGCTCAATCACAAAGTTGGAAGGAAGCATCATAATAGTAAAGGTCTTGCAACAGGAGCACCGATCGTGCGAAACACACTATGGGTCCTAATTCGCAGATATACCGCGGCGGCCTGGAGTTTGGGGCACTCCAAGACAACCAGGAAACCAGTCCAACAGGTGAGTCACTTTTCATGATTCGCAAGGCTTCAGTCCAGAGTCAGATATACGCACTTCTCCGGAATCGGGTACAACGTCTGGGATCGGGTATCCAACTTATAATAAATCAAGCCATTGCTCCGCCTCGCTCTGAGGTTCTATTCTAGGGACGGCATCTCCAATCAAGTCACATCGCCCTAACCCTCTCACACACTCTCAATTGGTGTTTGACACGAGACGAGCCGGCTCGGGCAAGTGTCCAAAATCGCATAATCCTGACTTCCTACGGGCCTAGATTTCTCGAGAATGTTGAAAAAATTGCCCGAGCGCTAGCAGATACATCGTACAAACGCCGGCGCTATTAACCGAGACATGAGCATTCCGGCGAGCACTGGCGGAGGCCATGGAAGTTACCGCTAGGACAAGTCAATATTATTATGCATGTATGGAGCATTGGAGGGCCCTTTGGACGGGATTTTGCTTGGAACCCGGCTTAGGGATAAAGGGTGGGAGAGTGCACAAGAGCTGAAACAAGTACGAATAGGACCCCAAGAGAGGTGAGAAAGAGGAATAGACTGATAGAAATGGGGGAAATAGAAAACCCTATATTTCAGGGGGGATAAATAATTAGACTGTTGGAGATGGGAAATGATCAAGCCGGGGTCGCACGGAGTCAAGAGAAAGGGATTTAAAGGACGAATAAATAATGATATGATATTAGAGGAGAAGTTTGTCGATTGTTCGATAAAAAGAAAAGAGATCAGAGGTAAAGTACAGAAAAGGAGTAAAATATAAAAGAAGAAATTCCTCAGCGCTAGTGCACCTAGCTGACGTGTACTGTACTAGTGCGTACGTAAACTATATGATATGATACTTGTGTGGGTATCTCCAACAAAAAACCCACACCCGATGCGAGTGATTATACATGACACCCAAAAGCTTGAGCCGGATCAAGCCTCACCTGCGAGCCGCAAGTTGTTGGAGCCGATCAATCATGCAAGCCGAGCTGGCTCGAGTCCAAGATCCGGCTTGTCTTGAATCGTCTTGTGCCAAACACTACTAGTACTCCTCAATAACAACTAGATAGAGAAGTACTCATCCAAAAGAGCAGTACATCAATACCAACATCAGTGAATGGTCAGAGGAAATTTTAACCTTTTCTCTTCCTCAATAGCCAAGCCAACTCCGCGGAGCTTCTAACCAGGAAAAACACAAATCACCTGGCGGAAGGGCAGTGAGGGCACAGGAGGGCAGTTATTCTCCAAAAACTCATCCCTATGCTCCATGTGAACTGAGGGGAAGCAAGGATTTCGATTCACCAACTGCGAGTTTCCTGCACATGTTAACACTTACTGACTGGACAACAAACAAACCCCGACCAGTCAAGTTGTGGAGGTCGTCGTGGTGATTCTGTGAAGCACCACATGAAGACTATCAGCAGTCAGTAGTCTACAAGTACATGTGATTAACATTACCAACTTGAACATGCCATGTGTACCCGAGTAATCAAAGTCAGGGTGAGTTGTTTTGGGATGTCAGATGCGCCAAGTTCTGGAGGCTCTCCTGGCCGTGAATGTTGGCTACAAGGTCTGGTAGACGGCCGAGAGAGAACTACTTTCCTGACAAGTCGCTACCTTTTAAAAAGCAAGCGCTCATTTCTTAAACTTGTCTTAGCAAAGAGCTGCTCGACATCACAGTCCAGTGCGAGCACAGAGGGGGTGAACTTGAACGTACCGTACCGTAGGGGAGGTGATTTCAGCTTTTACTAGCCAAAACCTGGTGAGTGTAACCAGACAAGGGATCAATCTTAGCTCTTTTGAAGGAAAAGTGGTCAGCCCTACTCTCTCTCCTCCTGCTGCAGTGGCCCCACGATACTCGAGTACTCGAGTATACTGTTCTCCGGGCGGCCGGAGTGATCTACCACCCAATCACACCCCTTGCCTCACTTGTACCTAGTATTGTGCAGCGCACTCGCAGTTTTGAACTCTACCCTACGCCGCAAATCTCATCGATCACAATACTCGAGTACTCGTATATCAACCCGGGGATAGGCGGATGCAGGGCTCAATTTTTCATGTTAAGCTTTTCGGTATTCATCAGTACCGTATCATATAAAGTGGATAACAAAACAAACCACACGCAGGCATGTGCGTACCGTATGTGCTTCCAGGAAAGGGTGGGGCCATCCGCCAGTCCCTACACAGCGATAGGCGATGCCTGCGCTGTTTCGATCGGTATACTTGTTTTTTTTTCGCTTCCCTTTCCTCTTTTTTCTTGTTGTTTTGTTTTTACCTTTGTCTTTGTCTTTGTTTTTGTTTTTTTGTTGGATTTGGATTGACGGATTGGTGAGGAGGAACTTGCTACTTGTACCAGTATGCGGGTTTGGCGCAACAGCTGATAAATAAATTTATGTGGATGCAACAACCAGCTGCCAAGCTGCCAGGCAGCAGGGTCGCCGCACTCGCTGCTCGGGTGTCCCCTCCGGGGTAAGCTTGTGATGC